AAATCCTTGTTCTATTGAGGTCAGTGGGAGTTTTGCCTTTAACTTAAATGGAATGAGGCTTTGGTCCTTGGTCAGGAATTGAACTGTGTCCTGTACTACAGCTGTGGAATGCAAACTACAAGGAAATGAAAGGAGCATGAATTGTTCTATAACCACATGATCACTGACAAATCTTTGTGAATGAATTTTCTAAAATCAGTATCAGACACTCCAGTATGTTGGTGTTCATTACTGTCACCAGTTGACTTACAGAAATGGTGGCAAATTATTCTGATGCACCATTATGGTGCATCAGAATATTTAGTGCAAATCTAAATGGTAAGAGGTCCCTCCTCTAAAATAGAGCAAATATTGAACATCCCAGTGATCTTTCAAAGGGTTAAGAGATCAACCTGAAAAAATCCAGAGAGTAAAAAAGTGGAAAACTTTATGAATTAACATATACTCCTTTTTAAGTCTTCTGACATTTCGGATTTTAATGGAAGTGACTGGCCTAATCTGTTTTTCACCATTTTTATTTGCACTCTACTTCCTCCAGTTCTTTCCTTTTCAGCCTCACATATGTCTAAGCTCCTTTGGGTACTAATGATTTTAAAGGATAAAGATTACAGTGTGTGAGACTACAGATAGCAGAGGAGTAAGGACTGCTAATTATGAGCCACGTGATAATGGGTAGTCGTGTAAATAAACAATTCACCTAAAAGCAGATCTCTTTCCTTTGCTTTTTCTATACATGTAAACACACATGTACATGCATGTGCATGAACGCACAGGCACTCATAGTAGCAGAGAAAAGAGAGGTCTCAGTAACCTTAAAAAAATCAGGTTTTCCTCCCATTTCACCTAAATTCAATCCCAATTCACCATTCTCAAACCAAATTATTCTTTGGAAGGAGAAGATAGGCTTGTGCTTAAAACACTGACTTGAGACTTGGGAGATCTGTGTTCAATTTCAAGCTTATTTCTAGATATTCTGTGTAACCTTGGACAAGTTTATAATGGAACCCCAACTTTAGCTGGCACCTCTAGGTATTACTGTAGCACAAATAACAATCCTACAGCAAAAAGATCGGATATCATAAATGCAGGGTTTAGCTTAGTTAAAGAACTGAACAGAAAGAAAAACAGAACTGAAGGAGAAATCTTTCTTTAAAACACCTCTAATAATCGCAAAATCCAACACACAAAATGGTTCCATTACCATACATTTCTTTTGTTATAAATCCTTTTTCTCCAGTGTGAAAAGTTTTCATTTAATTTTACATAAGTTATAAAATAACCCAACGAGATGCTAAGAAATGTATAACTAGCTAGAGAGATTAAGGCAATAAAAATGAAGATGTAATGAACCTGACTTTTCTATTTATAAAAAAAAATATTTAATACATCCACCAGTTGTCTCAAGAATCAGAGTTTGCCACCTTTTAGTGTTCAACCAAGCATCGACACAGCAATAGGCTCATAGTTTTTGACATAGTGCTAATGGAGAAACATTTATGCTTCAGACTAAATTGTATGGGCTAAATTTATCAGCATTGTATGGTTAACGTTCATTACAAAGTAGTGTCTTCCTTTTTATGTTAAAAGAAGAACTTGAATATTGGGCATATTCAGATATGTTTGAAAACTTAAAAACATTTGAAAAGTACATGAATTTCATATTTTTCTTGCCACATTGCTAATTACTGAATACATTATGTTAAAAAACCAATGTTTTCTATCTCATAGCGTGTAATGTTCAGTAAAATATTCTAAAATCGAGTTGGTTGTAGTGAAGGTATGTTACATCAACTGCACAAGCACACAAATCAGGCTGCTTCTTTTCAGACTTCTGGAATCATCTTGTTCAAATTGGGCATGCTCAGAGGCTTAACCTCACCAGAGTTACTCCCATACTGGAAACATGCTACCACTTCTGTGCAGCCCATCCCACTTTTTTGCTTGACGTGTAGTGGAGTTCTAATACTAGATTTTTTGGCATTTCAGTAATTTCCAAAGCCATAGACAGTTCAACAGTAGAGAATAAACAGTTATGCCATAACCTCACTGTTCTGACACCACTGCAGGATTGCACAGAAAGCAACACGTAGCTGACAGAATGCTTATTACTGACACAGATATCGATAGCAGCAGAGGAAATGCAAAAATATTAGCCAAGTACATTCTGATACTTTTTCCCCCTGAAATTTCCTCATGTGTGAAACATTTTAAAGTTTCTCTTTATTAACCTTTATAAAGTTTTGTAGTATAACATGTTCCTAATTTACTGTAGGCTTTAACTCCTCATTAAGAGTATAATCCTAATTAGAGAAACTGGGATAGATAATTTAGTGACATATGCAACAAAATGTACTAAAATGGGAAACAAATCACAATAGTACAGCATTTTCCCAAGGTCTAATTACATCAAGTACTGTCACGGTGTGCGTCACCCATCGGCAGACTGGCACCTCCTCCTGGTTGTTCTGGGGATTAGCTCAGGACCAACACCTCCATCTGCACCTTGTCACTCCTTCTCTAAAGTCCGCCTGCAACCCCTCCTGCAGCATCAGGAACCGTAGTGTCCTCTTCGTGGCTCAGCCCTCCAGCCACGTCACTGTCCATGTTTCCCCCTTCCAGGGGAGTTTAGCTCCTAGTCCAGCCACTTCCCAACTGGCGACTGCCGTGAATTGCCCTGCCAGTTCCCCAGGGGCGAGTGTAAGGGACCCGGTCCGCCCACTACTCCAGGTCCCAGCCCAGGGACCCTGTAGATTGCAACCTCCTGCTGCATCCCTCTGCATCTACTATTGCTGCCTTTCCTTAGGCCACTTCCCCGCAATCACAGCACCCTCCTCAGTCTCAGCAGCCCGTCTAGAGCTCCTTCTCTTCTCCCCGGGTTTCTGTCTGCACTGCCCTGTCCAAGGCGCTATAGGGTTGCACCCTACTCCAGACACAGACTTCCCTCCTCAGGCTCCAGGAAGCTACTGACCCTGCTCTGCCCTGAGGCTCTTTTTATATGTAAAAAAAGATTTACAGCTTTTCACAGTCCCTCTCCAATTGGCTGCTTTTCACACAGCCTCCCTAGGGCTCTATTAACCCCTTACTGCCCAGTTTGGGGCAGATACCTTATCACAAGTACACATTCAGATTAATGAAATTCTGAATTCCATTTGTGATAGTGTAATCTGATTACTCCAAGATAAAGTTTATGCTTGGGCTGCTGTAGTGATAATGGGGGGTGGGAGGGAAGAAAGGACATTGCCAACAATAAGGTGGCAGAGCTCTGTATTTCTGCTTGGGGCATTGTCCATAATAACACCCTGATCAGCTTGAAACAGTTTAGGTGATACGTTGTATTTTGTCAGCAGTGTGTTAAGTGGTAAGTAATAACAATGATATTAATGTACAGGCTGGTTGATATTGTTAATACAAATATTGAAATCTATTGGAGAGAAATTAAAGATGTACATTCTGTTGAAGAAAACACACCGTTAAAGTTGGGCCTCTGCCTTGAGTCAGTCATATATCTAGTTGCCTAAGTCTTTCACTTGAACAGAAATTTATATAATCTTTCTAATTTAAGAGAGCTGCAAATATTTTAATATATTTGAGATGTTGGCATGTGCCTGGCATCCAGCTCCTCTCCTGAAAATAAATACAGAGTTGAATTCCAAGATAAAGGAGATAAACCTTTTTTTGTGAGGTGTATAGCTCCGGGCCAAATCCTGCTTGCCTTGTTCATGTAGGATTAAATTAACTCCTCTCCAGAGGCTAGCACAAAGCCTATGCATCACTTAGATTTGGGATGGCCATCTGGACACGAGTAAATTTCACCCATGGATTTTAAGACATTGAATGATGTAGGCAGAATTTGCACCTCAATGCAAAACTATCTCCAAAACCTCACAAGCTTCATCTCAGGGAAAACTATTTACTTCTTGGTTCCAGAAGGGTATAGCTCTGAAGGAAGCATTTCTGTGAGATATTAATCTACAGAATTTGGTTTCAGATTTACAGCAGAGTGGTTTTAAGTGATGAAGGCAAAGTGTTGCTGTCCTGGTAAGATCTACTTACTGTAGTGTGAAATGAAATTCTAGTTATCTTCTGCTCAGCATTCCTAACCATCTGCAAGACAGCACCAGTGAGGGAATTTAGCCTGCGGCAAGAATTTTTCCAGTGACTTTGCCAGTGGATGTCTTTTTATCATGCAGGTGCAGATAGACAAGTTTAGTTCAGTTAGTAGGACTCTTGCCTTTAAACTAGGAGATCATGGATTAAAACCTACTCCTTAAAAAGAAAAGGAGTACTTGTAACACCTTAGAGACTAACAAATTTTACTCCTTTTCTTTTTGCAGATACAGACTAACATGGCTGTTACTCTGAAACCTACTCCTTGTACTCCTGTAGTGTTAGCTAGGCCATCCTTCAAATGAGATGTTAAACAGAAGGCACAGTAGATAATGTTCTGGCCAGCATTCCCTTTCTCAGTAATACAGTTCTACAGCTGAACTCTTGTTGGCTTTAAGGCCCTGTCTTTATGGGTATTTTAATCATGTTAGTTCAGTTGAGTTAGCTTAACACAATTGAAGAATTTCTTCAAGACACAGGCTAACACTTTTAAAGTCATATTGGTTAGCCTTGGTTTAGCCTCTGAGGTTAAGACACGGCAAGCTAATGTTGCTTCACAGATGGTAGCTGATGTCTTGAATAGGCTTTTCAATTGTAGTAAGCCACTTGATTGAGTTGACACATCCTTTTTGAAGAACACATCCTTTTTGCTTGTCAAAATAAGGTGTAATAGATCTCTTATTTACCTATGCAATACCTGCACTACCATGATCTAACTCATTGTTTTGAAAAGTGCATTGGGATACCTTAAGTATTAGAGCCAATATATTAAATAAATACACTTTTAAAAAACAATAATAAAGACTTTGGCATCAAATATCCATAATATTTGAAATATTATTATGTAATAATAGTTCATCTAGTTTTATTTTGTTTTTATTGCTTCCCTGCAGGCCAAGGCAACAGATGCGGATGCAGGCCAGTTTGGTCATATCGACTATTTACTTTATGATGGATTCCATAACTATGAAAAATCTAAAGCATTCCGGATAGATCCACATACAGGACACATCTGTGTGTGTCAAGACATTGACAGGGAAAGGGATCCAGCCACTTACGATCTCTTAGTGAAAGCGACAGATGGGGTAAGTTTCACCCTGGAATATTACTTGACTTGTGAGCATGTTTTGTATTTTGAGCACAAATATAAAGTTTTAACAAGGGAGGGAAGTTTTTAATATGTTTATATGGAAGTTGAGAGGACCAGCCTGCAGTCTCTGTAGACTACGCTGGATGCTTGCAGGCTTTGTCGGCTGGGATATATGGAACATATGCCTCAAGAATATCTGTTGAAGGCTGTGCTCTGTGGCCAACTCAAGAACTGCCCATGATGCAGAGGAAGGCCAAAGTTCCAATACAGCAACAAGGCCAAGCAAGGTCTCAAGAAATTCAGCATTCCCACTGACAACTTGAAGACACAACCCACAACTGCTTAGTCTGGAGAAGCTGGGTCAAGGCTGGTGCAGTCATCGTTGAGAGCCATCAGATAGTCCAGACTGAGGCCCACAGGTGAGCCAGGAAGCAGTGCGTGTTCCAACCACCATCTGGCGAGTGGACCTGTAGCAACTGTGGAAAGGTCTGCCATTCTCACACTAGGCTCTTCTCCCACACTGCTGTCAAGCACCATTTACGGACTGACTCTTCATGTTTCCTTTCATCTGTCAAGATGCTGGTTGGCCATGAATTTGGAAGTTGCAGAAATTTTAATTGGAAATAATGTATTACCCCTAAGGAAATAAAAACATTCTTGAACTAAATCAGAGAATAATAGAAAGTTATTAAAGTCTATGTGTAAATCATATTTTATCTTGCTTCAGATGGGTAAAAATAGTGCTGCTGAATAGATATGAAAATACATATATGTGTATGCAATATCAAGATTAGATATATTAATAATGGATACTTGATCTGGATGAGAGCATTGGTAGTCTCAAGAGTTTCACACATTTCCCTTTCATTTGGCTCAGAAGATTTGGGTTTTGCCAAAACTCTATGATTTTTCAAATAAAAATATAGTAAAAGAGGCTCGGATGGAAATGTTATATGTGTATTCTGATCAGATTAATGCCCCAGTGATAAAGTTTAAATCAGAATCATGAGAAATCTGTAGGCACGCCAAAACTATAGACTCTTTCATTTTTGGATCAGTCTGTGATTTATCTTCTTTCAGGGAAATCTGATTTTTCAGAGGTTCTTGACTTGACTTTTAATTGTGGGAGCTCAGTGCTTTTAAAAATCGGATCCTAAGTTCCTCAAGTTGGCACCTAATATCCATGTCCACTTTTCAAATGTACTTTAGTATATATCAGAGCTGGTACTGAGTCACCTTCCATGTCCACTGCTGAGTTACTGTAGCATGCACCTCCTCTTGGCCCCTTAGAGTATGTTTTCATTGCAAAAAAAAAAATAAATAAAAGGGGGGGGGATATGTGCTTAACTCATGATTGCTAAACTGTATTAATTAACGTCAGTTAAAATAGCAATGAAGATATGGCAACTGAGGTAACCCAGATTAGCAGCTTGATTTAGGGTATGTCTACACTGTAGCTTGGAGGTGTGATTCCCAGCTCAGGTAGACAGATTTATGCTAGCTCAGCTCAAGCTAGCATGCTAAACATAGAAGTGTGGACACTGCAGCACTGATAGTGGCTCAGGTCAGCTTAGGTGCCTGAGTCCAAGCCTGCCCAGCTGACTAGGTCTGAGCTTCGATGGCTAGTCCAAGCTGCTGCCTGTGCCACAACATCCACATTGCTTGAGCTGAGCTAATGAGTCTGTCTGCCTGCTCAGTGAATCACACCTCCCAGCTGCAGAGTAGACATACCCTTAAAGTGTTCAGGGGAGCCTGGAATTGAACTGCAGCTGCTAACGTGAATTAAAAGCCAAGCTGCTGTGTCTTCACTGCAATTTTAACCTGAGTTAACAACCTGAGTTAAGAACAAACTCCCCTTTCCTCCCCCCCACCCCCCCCGAGTGAAAACGTAGCCTTAGTGCTTATTTTCAATGCTTGGGCAGGCGCATGAGTGATAGATGTTAGCTGTGGAGTTAGCTGTGGAAGAGGGATTTGGCAAAAGAAGAGAGAAATAAATGGAAAAAGTTGGGAGAAGAGCGAAGGGTCATTGGTAGTGACAAAGGGAGGGAAGGAAGGAAGGAAGGAAGAAAGAAACTGAGAAGGTTAAATAGACAATGAAGAGGAGGAGGAGAGTGAATTTTCCAGGTGGTACACTGCTTATTTTACAAATGAAATGGTGCAGTAGAAATATCAGTTTCTTTCACCCTGTTTGTTTCTTCTCTATGACTTGATTTCTGAGCCTGGCTGCCTTTTTTTATATTTGCCTTTTTAGAAGCAGCAATGGGAGAAAAAGAACTGCTCAGAAATGACCACAGGGAGACAAGTATAAAAAGTAGCACCTTAGAGGCTAACCAATTCATTTGAGCATAAGCTTTTGTGAGCTACAGCTCACTTCATCGGATGCATTCAGTGGAAAATACAGCGAGGAGATTTATACACACACAGAACATGAAAAAATGGGTGTTATCATACACACTGTAAGGAGAGTGATCACTTAAGATGAGCTATTACCAGCAGGAGAGCGGGGGGGAGAAAACCTTTTGTAGTGATAATCAAGGTGGGTCATTTCCAGCAGTTAACAGCAATCCATTGGTGATCTTCCTGAAAACACCATCCTGGCCACTATGGATGTAGAAGCCCTCTACACCAACATTCCACACAAAGATGGACTACAAGCCGTCAGGAACAGTATCCCCGATAATGTCACAGCAAACCTGGTGGTTGAACTTTGTGACTTTGTCCTTACCCACAACTATTTTACATTTGGGGACAATGTATACCTTCAGATCAGCGGCACTGCTATGGGTACCCGCATGGCCCCACAGTACGCCAACATTTTTATGGCTGACTTAGAACAACGCTTCCTCAGCTCTCGTCCCCTAATGTCCCTACTCTACTTGCGCTATATTGATGACATCTTCGTCATCTGGACCCATGGTGGTTAGGGCTCTCATCTGGGAGACCTAAATTCTTGTCTGTATTGAAACAGGGATTTGAACCCAGGTCTTCCCCTCCTCCCAAGTGAATTCCCTAAGCACCACACTATTGGCTATTTTGGGATGAGTCACTCTCAACATCTCTGATTGAAGCTGTTCCACTTTTTCATAGAGAGAGAGTGTGAGAATGGCCCTGTAGCGCAGTAGTTGGGGCACTCACCTGAGAGGAGGGACACCACAGTCCAAGTTCCTGTGCCAGTGAATAATTATTTATAGAAAGTGAAAGAGCCCCCACTCCTCAATCCTGGTGCCATATAGCCTGGTGGTTAGAGCACACCTGAGAGAGGGGAAGACTTTGGTTCAACTCCTGCTCCAGAATGGGGATTGAAGCTGGGTCTCTCACATCCAGAAGTATCCCAAACATTAGGTAAAAGGGAATCTAGCTCTTCATTTCCTTTTATTAAACAAAAGGTGGAAAATACCTGAAATTGAGATGAAATGTTTCATTTTGGGTCAAATGAAGCATTTAGTTTGACCCAAAACCAAATTTTGCAGATTATTTTGATTTGCTGAATATTTTGAAAACTTTTTCGGTTCGACCTGAACTGATTTAAAAAATAAATAAATTCAGAGCTGCTAATGAACTGAAAAATAAGTTATTAAGCCAGCTCTACTTATGAACCCTAATCCTGCTGTCCTGAAAGCTAGTGACAGAACTCTCGTTGATACCAGTGAGGGCAAGATTGGGAGCAGTATTACTGTAAGTTGAAAAGCAGCAAAGAAATCCAGCAACTGTTACACACAATCCCCCCTTCTAGTTTGCTAAATCACTGAACTTACATATTTAAACGTTTCAGTACAAAAGTTAAGTCATACATGTGAGACGTACCTCATTTTGAGAGACGCCTCTCATTTTAGTCCCTAAGTTATCTACATGTTTGGTATCCCCCCCCACACTTTTATTATCGAAAATTACTTACATCAGAACTGTTGTAAGTAAGGTTATAGAAAGGAACGAATCCCATAGCACCTGCGTGAATAATTTTTGTGTTGTTCATTTTGGGGTCTTTGTCACACACGATCCTCCGTAACGGACCTTTGCAGATTGAGAGCTATGTGTGCAGTAACATCAGTTCTCTCATACATCAGATACTGTATATCCTTAGGTATAGATTTAGAGTCAGACTGTACCAGTAAACCATAACTCTAAATACAGCTGTGGTATATAGCCACAACTTCCGAGGAAAGCTCCAGGAGGTAGTGTGCTTTAATGAGAAACTATGTCTCCTGGAGTTTTTGTGGATAGCAGATGCCGTGCTACCACTTAAGCATGCAGCACATTTTCCCCTCTCTAGCCAGCCCATTTGTGACTGGTGGTGGCGCTGCCTCCTCCCTTTTCCTTTTGTGGTTGCTTTTGCCTCTGGGTGCTAGTTAAAAAAGCAGCATGTATCCTCCAGAGACCACAGACTTGTGATTGTGGCTGGTCCCTGAGTGGGAGGGAAGCAGAAAGAGGGAGAAAAGCACATCAACCCTCCTCTCACATGAACCTGCACAATGCTCAGCCACAGTTTGGCTCTAAATAGTGAAACAAGTGATTAGAAGTAATACATTTGTGTAATATGGACAAGTTAATGATATTAGGAGAGCCTTAATTTAGTGGATTTCCTGTTTTTTCTGTGCTTAAAATGCAATGTTAAAGTTATAATTCTCTTTCCACCTGCAAACCTCCATTTTTTTAGGTGTGTTTGAGTTACTAGTGAACTAAAAACATCTTGAACTGCTGCAAGAATATAATGATTTTCATTCTCAAATAACACAAAAACAGGTGAAGGCATTTCCCACAGGAAACCTTCCAAAATTTTTCAGCTGTAGGTTGAGACCAGGCATGGAAAATGTCAATCTCAATGGTGAGTTTTTCAGAAAGAGAATATGAAAAACAGGAATTTTAATGAAAGGTCTAACATAGTCTTAAAGGTAACCAAGAAAGGGGAATAAAATTGTATGCCCTTTTTCTGCTTTTTAAAGATATGAGAATAAGGCCTGATACGTTTTAATGTTCTTGTTTCCTTTGTTTATCATT